TTTTGGTTGGTTGCCTTCATATATCTATTGCGTCAGATTTAGTGTGGATTCAGAATGGCTATTTCAAAATTGAGAACTCGGCCGGGTTCCGCGCCCAACGCTAAAAAGAACATTGCACTTTAGACGAACCAATAGTATATGTGGCGTTGAAGAGTCCAGTTGGGCGATTTTGATTTTTTCAGTTTCTACTCGCTAAGTGTTTATCGGGGAGTTTTCACGCCCGTTTGGTCCAACTGGAGTCTGCAACGTTTAGTTTATGTTATGCCGATATATAGCATCGCATCCAGTCGCCAGAATGGGAAACACTTGGTTCAAGCTTTTGCCATTCTGCCGATAATCATACACTTATGAGGGTATTATAATACGCAAGTTAAATACTATTAAAAACGTTATTCAGTACATTCTCATTTGGGGTACATCATCATACAAAATTAGTTCTATTGTATCGTTACAAATTATTTAAAATAACGTTCTGGTAGTTACATTATTGTTGTATGTATATGGAACTGTAACATAACTATACATGATCCGGTTCTATTGTAACTAAAACCTGTTATTTCATACACTGTGTATATATAAGTTATATTAAGTTTGTCATTGGGTACTCTGATAGGGGGGCCGATGGGCACTTTTGGGGCTTTTGTGGTTCCACGTCGAAAATACACTCAGTCGCTTCACTTCAAACGGTTCAAGTGGATTCGTTTTTTGTTGATGATTCCCTTAAAAGTTTGCCTACAGCTTCAATAATTTTTTTCAGATTTTCTTTGGCAGAAAAACATTCTGCTGAAGCTTAAAATAGTTTGTCTCTTTTTGCAGGTCTTTTTTACTTTGTGGCAGAACTCGATTTTTCTGGTTGTTGTTCGCTTCTAAAGTGATTCTGAGGTTTAAATTTGTTGAGACCTGGATATTGAAGCTAAATTTGTCTAAAATCTTTCTTTTCAGTATTCTGTTTCAAATTTTGGGTATCCCGCAAAACCAAATTTCCTGACGTCTTTTATGGTGAGTTGATACTAAGTGGCTTTTTTTAAATACTAAGAACAATTTCCCTATGAAGCGTAAGAAAGACGCTTAATCTGTTGTTTTCAAAAGGCTGCTGCAAAGAGTATTTAAAAAACCATCAAAGATTCAGTGTATAACTAAAAACTTTTGCAAATTATAGGCTTTTCGGTCAATGCTTTGTGGAAAAACGTTGTTTGTCTTGGAGCAACGTTTCGACCGGTATTTTTGACCTGCCAGGTTAAAAAAAATTCGAAACATTGGTTTAAAAAACAGTGTTTTTTTACAATCCATTGCGAAAAATCCCAACATTTGAAATACCGGGTGTTTCAAAATTTGCGACTGAATCTGGTAAATCGGTAGAGATGCGGAGTCGGTTAAATTAGGGCAAAGTTGCGGACTCTGATGCATGACAGAATGGTGTTTTAGAAGTTTGAAAATACCAAAAGAAATGTTTGAAAAAATCCGAAATTGAATCAAATGAGGTTTTTTCTCAAAATGTGTAAATAAAGACATGTTTTTAAATAGTTCTCACATTATTGGAACAAATGTTACTCTCCACAAAATAAAGCTGACATGTCTGGCATACAACGTTTCGTTTTTGGCCCACCATCATCAACTTACCTACTTTCTTTAAATACAAGTACAAAGCTCGTTTTTTACGGATTTTTTTGGAAATTCATCAACTTTCAAACCTCCTTTTTTTACATCACATTTTAACCTACTTCGTATCTCTTAACGTTAATAAGATACCAATGCGAACACGTCAATACGTAACGTCCTGTATAGTTCTTTACATACAGGGTGTGCTGTAAGCATATGCTCAAAAGGGTACTGCGATTTTTTGGCTTAAATCAAGACGATCGGGCCTAAGTTTTATTAAGAAAAAATGTCTGGCTCCTCCGCTATTGATAATCAAAGTTGTTCAGAAAAAGATATTTTTTTAAGCCAAAAACTCGCAGTACCCTTTTGGCTCACTGTAAATTTGTTCTTGCGTAAAACTCATGTTTTCATGAACCAACCGAGTTGATCCGCTTTGGGCAACTGGTGAAGTCTTGAGTGTCTTGATTCAAAAGCTGGCAGAATTTTTTATTTCGTCACTGCAATCAAATAATTTTTTTTTTTGAGTTGATGCACTGAACCTGTTTGGACTCTTTGTAAAATCTTGTCGCATTCATAGTTTTTCCGCAAAAATATAATTTCTGATTTGAAAGCAAATAGTAATGTCAGAGGTTAATAATTAATACTAGAACTATAATTTTTTATGTAAGAAAAAAAGCACTAATTTTCTCTTCCCCGTAAAAAACCGTGAGGAACCTGGGCTCTTGAAAGAACCGAAAACTTGAAACAACAGCTCAAAGAAAGCAGATTTTCATGTATCTACCAGCCTCAACCATCTAGAGTAGTAATCTAGTAATTAATTGAGCAAAAAGAGTGAATGTTCGAGGTGGATTAGATGCATCTATACAGGGTGTCCCATAGTGTCCAAAGGCCGTTTAAGGGTGGGTCCCTTTGCCATTGAGTTAGCCCAGCGAGTGTACCTACTGCTAGTTGAGTCCTGTAACGTAGGTGAATGATAACCGAAACGGATTTCGACAAATAAGTCGCAAACCGAGACAGAATTCAACGGGAGACACCCGGCGTTTTACCAACAATTGTACATGTATACTACAACCCACACAAAATTCTATGTATTACATATTGGACTAGAATAGTGGATAATTAATTTCATATGGAAAAAATCGTCGGTGTCAGGTGAAGAACCACATGATGATACAACTATAGCAAATAAGAGCGCTATAAACGGTAGGAGATTTTCGTCATAAGAAAATAGAATAAGGCAGATTTTGGTTATACACACTCATATCATTTTTGCTTTCGAAAATTTAAGGCGCAGAGGTGCTTAAAATAAGCTTGTACTTTTTTCGTGATATACATTTTTGGGATGGCCGTTTTTGTCGTGGCCGACGGCGCCGATTTTCGCTTCGAAACCGAAATTTTTACAATTAGTATCCACCACTATAATCTACACGTATAAAATACCCTTAAACATCGAAATTAATTATTCTAGGCTTACATTTAGGACCAGATGCTTACGTCGAAAGGAACAATTTCACTTTATATTATTAGACTGGGCCTGGACGCGCGACAAAAACGGACCAAACACTCATTTTTCCTTCATTTTTTTTCGTCTTTTTGAACCGGTGACCGAAATATGTTTCCGAACAGTGGATTTTGACCTGAAAAAGTGCCTCCTGTAAACGAGGAAAAGGATTAACCTCCTTATTTATGTGTGTGCATACGATACCAAACGTGAACGCAAACCTGAAACTATAATTATCGTCGATTAAAAACGGCCAAAGTCGGTTATAACTGTTTAAATCAACCCGCTGTCCAACTGCGTTCCCAACTGGCACCCCATCCTCTACATGATCAGTATAATCAAGACTTTGGTACCACTTGGGAACCCAACCGTCTACTATCTGGGAGTCTGGAGGTTTTTAATCCAAAACCACCCAGGTTTTTTTAAGGAGTCCTCTTGGACAAAGATCTTGCTGGTAAAACTCCCTGATGGTAAGCCAGTCTTTGGACAGCTACTTAACTTAAGATTTCAACCATGCTGGGGATCCTACCTAAAGAAGAGTGGGGGTGGGGGTTAGCTACGCTACAACCCTCCGTCCATTCCACATTCTGATTGGACTCGGGGCTTTGGAGTGACCTCAAAAATTACTTTTACAGTCTCATCCAGAAATTGTTACGTTTTCCTCATCCGGGACCTCGAGCAAGGCCTTTTCTGAATTCATCTGTTACTTTTGTGTTCAACAATTCGAGACTGTAGTCGCCATTCGGGTGGGACTAAGCGCGAATTGAGTTACGAGCCCCCAAGTGCTCGTTGTGAGTTGAGTGAGTGTCATTAAATCGGTTAAATCTGCAAGTTAAAGTTGGGTGAATTGTTAAAACCAACAGTAACTTTTTGAGGTCTGATGTGTTAAGTTAACGGGCAGTTTCAAGAATGAGCGCTGCGGCTCTTTTTGGAAACCGTCCATAGCCAAGTAAAAATCTGCAGGATACCTATGAACAACATTAAAATAAAGCACTTTGGTATTCTCTTCATGATCCCTGGGTCACATGTTGCCGGTTCCCAAACTTTTGTACTCAGATTTATACCCGATTCGCTATTTTTTACAGTTTTGAAATAAACACCGACGGTGTGGTGCGTACACGCTAAATATGTAGTCACTATTGTATGGAGATAAGCTTATATTTATTTACAGTACATTGTTTTACTTACAGATTTCAATTCAGTCTGTTCGTCCACTTTTCCTCAGATCTGGATCGACTTCAGTGGGCGAAAAGTGAAAGAACAGAAAAGACGGTTTACACGAATACATAAATACAGTTTGGTTTGGAAGAACCGAGCGTTTAGGGTTTGAGAACCGACAGCATTTGGGTACTTTACAGTCGACAACGTTAAATACTTTTTTTTAATTCTAATAAACAACTATACTCTTATTAGTTAAATTTCAAAAAACGTTTTTTAATGTAACGTACCGGATTTGCGGTCCCGAGATGAAACTCAAACGAACGAAAATTTCTTTAATATCCAAAATGATGAATTTTGAAAACGAACTGAACGTTCTAACGTGAAACTGAGACGAAAATCAATCGTAATTGAATGGCAGTCTTTCGAATTTCGGCAGTTTCGAATAAACTTTTCTTAGGAACAGCAAAATCACCATTACATAGCCTAGCTGTAGGCTAAGTTAACGCTATCCCGGGACTCGACCTGTGAATGTGACTGAACTATTGCGGGATGTGAAGGAATACTGTTGTTTTTCTCTGATTGAACTGTATTTACATTTTTGTAAATTTCCGGCTGTTGCAAAGTTTTCTCTTCTAGCTTTTGTTTGTTTTGATTGAGTTGAAGGAATTTTCCCCGAAATTTACCCCACTGTAAACTCGCACTGAACTTGCAAGCACAACGAAAAATGAAAAGCCAAACGTAAAACCAAATAAAAATATATTATTTATTTATGTTAAAACTGACTAGTTGCTTCACACGTGTCAACGAGATCGTGTATAATGTCCTAAACTAAAAATGTGCATGGTGAAATAAATAATAGTAAATTAAAAATAATCATTGCCTCAAATATTAAGCAGACATGCAAATCAAATGATAAACAATCAGAGCAACTAGTCTAAGTGTTGGAGGAAAATGATCATGGAAAACGTTGAAACGGAGCTGAGGAGCCGGCTTTTGTTCTGGGCAAATCCCGAGCTTGATGCTTCGAAGCTCAAACTCCGTCTCAACCTTCCCCGGAAACTCAAAAAAGCGGCATATCTACTTAATATTCAACCACAGCAATTACAAACATAATCGGTGTGTATAAAGGTGGGGAAAAGGCGTCGCAACTGAGGCTCTTTCAGTGTTGTTTGCATGGGATGCTGCCGATTTCTAAACTATTTTACAAACTGGCCAAAATTGCGGCGCCTTTTGCCCGGATCACTCACCGACAAACTGGCCAAAAGCCCAGATTGCCGGTGAGCGAAAACAAAAAATAACCACTTTCCTATAACATTCTCTCTCTCTCATCTTCAACGACTAGCAAAAATATAACCTTTGGTTAAAAAATTATAAACTAAAATGTATATACAAGGCAGATGGGTGTTTTATATATATGTACAGGGGCGTGGACGCAGCACAGTTTACAGTGGCTCGAAACAAAAACATGCCAAAGAGTAAACGGAAGTTTTGAATTGGTGCAGATTTTGAACTTGTTACCTGCTGGCTTGATACACAAAAATTAGGACTTGCCGTCAATATAAAACATTCGCTACCCGGTAAATATTCAGGTAATCACTGGATAATTGATTGATATTTTTGGTTGCGATTCACTGTTCGCCAAGTTCGGCGTTTTGTAAGAATGGAAACCGTCCTGTAACAACTATAACAATGTCCAATGTCTTCAAAGCCGTCCGGGTATCGGGACTACTCGAAAAAACCATTGTAAAAACAGTCACCGATTCGCTGTGCAAGATTTGGAGCCAAAGCGGTACCAATTAGTACCAGAGCCCGCCCATTGGTACCGGCACTGTCGCCGTTGGTACTGCTTTTTGCTCGGAATGGCCGGAAGGTCACTCCAGTTGTTCCAGGAAATTGGGCGACTTGAAGTACTCGGGCACCGGATCGTCCATTCGACTGATGATTTTGTAAATCGACTTTTTCCACGACTGTTCTGCATCGCGACCTTCTTGGATGGCTTTGAAAAATTCCCTGAGCGTTTGCTCCACTACGAACCTGAAGTTGGAAGGAACCTAAAAAATAGACAATTTTCGTCAGCAACTTCAAGCGCGTTTAAACCAGACAGCAAACTCTACTTTTTCTTTGCTTCTCCGTTTGGTATACACTGGAGTATAGAAAAAATGCAAAAAAACTACTCAAAAAAGCGAAGGAAGTCAAATGGAAAGCGATTCAGTTAAGATGCTGCTTTTCCTAGGGGCATAAAGTTGCCAAAAGGCTCCAAAAGTGAATAAAGCAGAAAGCTACGAAGAAAAATGGTTGCCAATAAAAAGGAAGCAATTGAAATGATGATTTCGCCTTGATAAATCGGGCTTTCTCAACGCGCTCTTCACGCTCAAGCTTTCTTCACAATTAGGCGAAATAAATTATAGACAACAAATTTGCGTTTTTGGCTCTTTTCGTTTGCTGCCTGCAAAATTGCTTCAAAAATAAATGAACAGAATAAAAGCAATATGGAAACTGCAATAGAACTAAAATAAACAGGAATTAATTTATAAGACCAAACACCGCATTTTTTCTTGACAATTACGCAAAGGAACCCAAATATATGAAAACTGCGTTTTTCCTCATACTTTTATGCAAAATATTAGCAGAAAATGGGCAATAAATGAAACAATCTGTACTAAGAGATAGAACGCCTTTTGTGAGACCAATTGACAAAAGAAAATACAAAAGTGATGGTTGAATGGATAAACCGACAAAAGAGGGCCAAATTGCTTCGAAAACGGAATGGAGGGAATAAAAATTGCAAAAGACTGCGAAAACAATTCAAGGAAAAATGTGTTCTTAATTTATAAAGCAGGGTTTTTCTCCACAATTAGGTGCCTGATCGCCAAAGCGTAAAAAATACGTTATTCTGGTTTCCTTCATTTGCACCAAACTAGTGCTTCCAAAGTGAATGGAGCATGTGAAAAAGAATACGAAAATCTCCTAAAACCATTGCGTTAGAAACTAAATAAAACCATCTGAACTGTTTCGTTTTAGTCAATGAGGCGAAGGAACAGTGAAAAGTGAAGCACAAATAATTGATTACATAAAACCTACAAAACTGCCGGCAACATCAAACGCTTTTTAAGGGCCAAGGCGCAAAAATTGCATTTTTGGAATGGTGGTATAAAAACCGGGAAGCAATGCAAAAAAATGTGCCAAATTAATCCCAGGAAACAAGTAGGTAAAGAGACGCGGTGGAAGCGAATTGCTAAACTAACTAAACTAAATATGAATGAAAAAGCTTTAGAAGTGTTTTATAATCTTTGAACATGTCTCATTTTCCGTAGCACAAAGTGATAAGAAAACCCTCCTTAATTTTGTTCAGTGAATCAGCCCAGACATCTAGAAAAATTATAAAAATCATCCTCATGCAAATGAACGGAACAAAGTGGATATCAAGAATACGAACGAAACAAGGGTTTTTTTTAAAGATGTCTCGGTTTTCACGAACCTGTGGGCCCCATACCTCGATGTGATTGTTTCTGTTGTAATGCAGATTGAGCACTCGGTATAGCTCGGAATCTGCTCCCACATGCAAATCATCACCATTCTTCACTCCTTCTGATACAGCTTGTCTGGCGTATTTCTCCATTTGAATGTAGTAGAATTCCCTGCAAGGACAAAAGGTTTGATTAAGAACTTTCCAAGAAGCCACCGCTTCGCACAACTGCATTTTTGCAGTTTTTCACTCCAGAAATTGATGAGCAATTAACCAAAATTAAAATTGAAAAATCGTCTAGAAAAGCGCAATTAAACCTCCAGCTACCTGCAGACTTACTTGATATGCACAGAAAGCGTTAAACGTGTGCCAACCAGATAAGCTGGTAGGTACTTAATTATTTAGGGCGACAAATCTATCTTGAAAGTGCAGGTGTCGTACCGCTATGAAACCTACGTGATCTTTGAAAACAATTTCCTTAACATGCGGGCTTGAACTGTAAAAGGGGTCAAAGAAATTGAGACTTGGCAAATCATAAGGGCGATTACACACTTAAGTCCCATCAATGATGAATAATCGAAAAGTATTCCGGCTGAACTAAACGATTCGTGCCCGAATCGGAAGCAACAGTTGCTGGCGTTAATATTTTACCATGGTTAATACAGAAGCGTATTAATTATGCATGCCGAATTGGCCTATAATTGGTATTTGAATTCAATGACATGACACTGCAATGTTTAGGTAATATTAATTCGGTTTCGATGCCAAACATTTGTATTATTATAATCGAGCTTTGATTATCTTTGTAGCCGTCAGGTGAGTCTCGCAAGGTGATGAAGTGGACGATGCTGAAGATTAAATGACCAGCCAAGTTTAAACTGCCAAATCCATCTACTTGAATCGACATAATTGAATGAAATAGTGGCAAATTTCGAACCAAACCTGCATATAAATTACGTCTTTTTATATCAGTAGACAAGTGGGGATCTTTATGCATTGGCATAGGGTAACTATAGCCCTTCGATGACAATAAGACAGATGTTCAGATTGGGAAAAACCGTTAGAATATTCACTGCGCCGTGTTTTTAAAGATTAGAACATTACTAGGTAAGGGTGCTAACCCTCTTCTCGGTTTTAGAAAGGGAAAGTCGCTTTTTGGGGCTTATTGTTCGGTTTGGGAATATTTCCGTGTCCGGTTTAAGGCCCATTGAAGTTGTAATTCTTTTTTTTTTTTTGGTCGAGAACTCGTGAGTTTTTCGGGATTTTAGTACTTTTAGCAAGACAACTGCGCCATTTGCTTCAAAAATTCCTAACTTTCCTTCTAGAGCAAGCAGTGACTTGAAATTTCTTCTCAACCATAGAAGATGCTTCAATCTCAACACCCTAAAGATTTCATTGAATTCGCACAAAATTCAGATTTTTTCCGCCTTCGTAATGGCCAATAATGCCATTCGATTCGCACCAATTCCAGATTTTTACCGCCATAGTAGATATTAGTGCAATAATGAACGCTTTCAAGCAAATGCGCGGTCTGTTTAAAAATTCCTAACTTATAATCTAGTGAAAGCAACCGGTTGAAGTTTCCCTGATCAGCAGATACTCAAATATGAAAATGCTACAATTTTTTCCGCCCTGGTAAATGCTAGTTCAAAAATTGAAGTTGTCAGGCAACTGCACCATCTGCTTTAAAAATTCTTAATTTATCATCCAGAGCCAGCAGCGACCTGAACTTTCCCTCATCGATAGATGCTACTTTGGTCTTAACCCCGACAAAATTTCATTAAAATCGAACCAAATTCTGATGTTTTCCGCTTTGGTTCATTTTAGTTACAAAATAAGCGCTTTCAGACAACAAGCTGTGCTATAAAAATTCATAACTTTTAACCAATCGAGCGCCGCTACTTGAAATTTTCGGCATCTGCGGATGAGGCTTGAGTTTCAAAGCTCTCAAAGCACCAATCGAATTTAGGCGAAAATTGATTTTTACTGCTTTAGTAAATGTTGGTTCAAAATGGACGTTTTCAGATAATTGCACGCTCGGCTTTAAAAATTCCGAACTTCCAATCTAAAGCTCGCAGCGACTTAAAATTTCCCTCATATGTAGCAGATACCTAACTCGAAAAACCCAGAAAGTTTCATAAGAATCGTGCTTAATTTAGATTTTTGTTGGCATAACACATCCTAGTTCAAAATTTTGCATTTTCAAACAACTGTAGGCTCTGCTTTACAAATTCACAACTTCGAACCTAAATAAAGCAGCTACTTCACATTTTCACCATCTACTTACAATGCTTCAGTTCAAACGCTCTCAAATCAGCATTTAAAATTCAATAAAACTTGATTTTTGCCGCTCTTTTAAATGTTAGTCCAAAAATGCACGTTTTCAGACAATTGCACGCTGGGCTTTATAAAATTGTACCTTCTAATCTAGAGCAAGAAACGATTTAAAATTTCGCTTATCGCTAGAGCCACCCCAAAGCTGAAAAGTCTCAAAGTTTTATAGAAATCCTGATTAATTCTGATTTTTGCCGTCATAATGAATATCAGTTCAAAAATAAGCGCTTAGAGACAACTGCGCACTTTAATTTAAAATTTCGTAACTTTTCATCTACTATAGGAGATGCTCAAATCTCAAACGCCTGCAACATTCACTGGAATCACACGGAATCACTCTCGGATTTAAAAATTCATCACCTATAATCTAGAGTAAGTCGGAAATTGAAATTTTCGGGATCTATAGAAGACACTTGAATCAAAAAACCTTGAAAATTCAAGAGTTTAGCTTCAAATAGAAAAATTGCTTTTTTGCTTCGAAGATGCAATGCGCTCTTGCTGGCAAAACGTCACCTGTTATGTTAATTACACTCAATTCATGCACTATTGAAGGAACCAAAGCGAAAAATGTAGCTTAACGATGTAAAAGCAACAATAACTGTACAAATAGTTTGGATAAATTCTCACTGTTTAATCCATCAAAAAATATGTGCACTTTCTTTGGAAAAATGCGAGGAAAGATCGTCAGACCTCGAAGGGACCGACGAGGGCAAACAAAAGGCGCAATCCGGCATCCGAAGTTCTTTCTATAACGATTGTTACTTGAAGTTGGTTAACGCTAATTAGTCATTGTTAATTAAAAAGAAAAAAAACAGGTCGTATTGAATATGTTACCGGGAAAGTCGCATAGTTTTTGAGCTGTGGATCGTGAAAAGTTTCTCATTTTCTTTCCGAGTATTGTCTGCTGGATTTCTTCATTTTTGTATGAAAGTTTTAATTTCCACTGCTGGCGTTAAGTATTTCGGATTGAATGCAATCTGGCTTAGGAGCACCAGCCACCATTGCCGGATGATTTAGGGTTAAATAATTAACTATCAATCAGACATAATCAGGGAGTACCAATTAAGGCAATTAATTAGCATAATAATTATGCGGAGAAATCCACGTGGCAGTAGCAGGGAGGCGGGACGAAGGTGTAAACCGGTAAATTGCTTCCGGTCACTTCGAACTGATCGTCGATCGTACGGACTTTTAATTAAAGAAGCCGAGCCTAGTGGTTATTTAATTATGGTAAACTTAGCGAAAGGCTCAATGCTTTCATTAAGAAATGGGAAAAGGTGCAGCAGGAAAAACGCCACAAAACAGCTAATTTCCTAGAGCTGAACCAGCTCACGATTCTTTCGGCGCCTTCAGGTGTTAAACTCAAATTAAATCTTGCAACTACTCCTAATTCGTAATTAGCTCATTGCAGCATTAACGTGTAATGTGCTCCTTAAAAAATATGGAATTCCCTCGACGACGCCCTATTGCTCAATTAAAAATTACTTAATTAAGATCTTGAGACTAATTAGTAGACGGCAGGAAAGAAAAAATCGCTCGGTGACTTTGCGTATGTTTTAAATTAGTCGTTCATTACATTACGGCTTAGAGGCGATTTTTTAAATTACGCTACTGAATACTAATTGCTGCTAAAGACGACGACTCGTAATCACTAACGTTTATCTGCTACAGGCGCTGTCAGATGTGCGATACATTTCTCAATTAAAAATTATTTAATTAATTAAAAAATCAAATCATCAAAGAGAAGGAAGACTTTAACCAATAAAATAAGCGAGACATTTTTACAGTGCTTCTATTGARCATGCCGAAAGTTASAATTGAAKGCCGAAAGTTAMAATAATCGGGTTTCAGACAACCGCATGCTCTGCTTCAAAAATCCGTAACYTCTCATCTAGAGCAAGAAGTGATTGKTAATTTTTCTCATCTATAGCAAAYACTTGATAGAASAGACTTGAAAGAMAAACTTCTGAAAATTCTATTTGATTCGCAGGAAGTCCTGATTGCTTCCGCCTTAGTGCAATAATAAAGAATTGAAAAAATTCCTAACTTCTCATTTGCATGCAAGCAGCGACTTCAAATTCGCCTCATCTATACAAGAGGCTCGAATCAAAAAACTCTGAAAATTCCAATCCGTTCGCACAAAGTCTTGCWSTTTTTYCGCCATAGCACATGATAATGCAATAATAAACATTCTCAGMCKCACACTCTACTTTAAAAAATCCTGACTTCTCATSTAGAGCAGSCAGTRATTTCAAATTTGGCTCATCTATAGACGATCCTCTTCTGCCAGAAAATTCTGAAAATGCCATGCGATTTGCAGAAAATCCTGATTTATTCGCCRTRGTACATGCTAGTGCAATAGACATTTTCGGCAAATTTTAAGCACTTTTTGAGGGTTCACGATCTTTAGCCGACGATTTCTTCCTCATTTTTGATCCAAACACTTCAAAATGCATATTTCTGAACTTATTCCGTGGAAAGGAACCGTTTGAGCTCAAAAAACACGCATGTGAAATTTTGATTTTTGACCGAAAATTTTCCAAGGGTGGGGGTCGATTTTTGGAAAAAATTTAAATTTTCTCTAAACGTCTTAAATTTTACATCATTTTCATCTCACAGACGCGAGGAATGCATCGAGCTCATTGAAAAACATGCTAGAAGTTTCAGATCCGAAATAATAGACATTTTCGCCACATTTTAAGCGTTTTTTGAGCGTTCACGATCTTTAGCCGACGATTTCTTCCTTATTATTGACCCAAACACTGTATAAATGCATATTTGTGATCTTCTTATGTCGAAAGGAATCGATCGAGCGCAAAAAACACGCATGTAAAATTTTGATTTTTGGCCGAAATTTTTCCCAGGGTGGGGGTCAATTTTTTCAAAAAATGAAAATTTTCTCTAAAGGTCTTAAATTTTACATCATTTGCATCTAACGGACGCGAGGAATGCATCGAGTTCATTGAAAACCATGCTTGAAGTTTCAGATCCGAAATAATAGACATTTTCG